CTTGTCACCGCGGCGCGGCCTCCGTGCGCCAATTGCAACGTGGGAGCGCAAGGACATTCAGACACACACACAGACACGGATTTTAGCCACGTGTCGCCACTTGTCGGGGCGGCTTGGCCTGCGGCCAGGCCGCGCCCCGCACGTGGCCGCCACTTGTCCGCCACGTGTCGCCTGTGCGTCAATGGCAACGCGTGCGGGAGCGCACGAACACACATACACAAACACACAGACAGACAGACACGGAAATTAGTATACGCGGGGACAAGTGGGCTCCGTGCGTGCTTTGCGCGCCGAGCCAAGGAAGCGTGGAGGAACACTATTTGGGAAGGGTGGCAATGAAAGTATGTAAAGACAATGGCGTTTACTTTTTTGGTAACTACTGAAGGACCTCGGGGTACACTACGTTTCGAGTGGTTTCATTGGACTCTCGAGTGAGGACAGTGACGTTGCCTGGGTGAGTAGTCCTTGATAGTGCGACATAGAGTTGACCGTGCGAGAAGCAGTGATCTCATAAGTCGAGACCAATGCGGCCACCGAAGGATTGGCCTTGCGCTTTGTTCGTTGTAAGGGCGAAGCACGTGCGAATGGGGAACTGCGTTCGGGTGAAGCCAGGGATGGGAAAGTTGTCGTCTCCTGGTCCGCAGGGCATTCGAGGAAGACACAGTCTGTTGCCTTGGTGTGACCCGGTGGTAACGTGTAGAAAGAGCAGGTTGTTGGTCATGTTTTCGATGACATATCGCGCGCCGTTGACGTGACCGGTAGCGGGATCGAGATTGCGCAGAAGCATGAGGATGAAGCCTTTCTTGAGCTTGAGCTTGTGGTCTGGTAGAGCAGATCCGGCGGTCAAGGTGTTGAGCATTTCTGTGGGATAGATCAGCGCGTTGGTGTCTTCGTTCTCGACCTTGTCTGCGCTCAAATACGTTCGATACGATCCCGGAATCATGTTGCCGATGACCTCGTTGACTTCCTCGAGCGGCCTGTTCTTTGTGGTGAGTATAACGCGCTTGGTGAGCCAGGCAGGGTCGGCGTGATTGTCTCGAGTGCCTTGGAAGACCTTGAGGCATAAGTTGCGGATGGTGTGCTCGAACGCAATGGACTGTGGTAGTGAGATCCATTCCGGGCGCTGTTCGCCTTGAAGTCTGCCTTCCCCGACGCTGAGGAGGAATTCTGGAAAGTTGAGAGCCTCCTCATCTGCTGCAGGGTCCGCTCGGAGAGCAGCAACGCACATGTTCTCGGTAAGGCGCAGGAATCGGCACTTTCGATACAGCGGGGAAGCCTTGACGCACGCACTAACGATTTGACCTCTGGACCCGCCCGGAACAACGGGAAGGACTTGTCTAAAGTCTCCAGCGAGCACGAGGAACTTTCCTCCGAAGGGCCGGTCGGTTTGCATCAAGTCTCGAAGGGAGCGATCGACAGTCTCAATGCAATGTCGATGGCACATGACGATCTCGTCCCATATGATGAGATCGACTTGTTGCAGTGTACGGCCTGTGTCGGAGTTTGCGGAGAAGCTGCACGTGCTTTCGGCAGATACAGGAATGGGAATCTTGAACACGGAATGAGCGGTGCGTCCACCGTCGAGCAGCACAGCAGCAACAGCAGACGTAGCGACAGCGATGACCTGCTTACGGCGCGTACGAAGGAAGTCTTGAATGGCGCTGAGCACGAATGTTTTGCCTGTTCCGCCAGGAGCATCGAGGAAGAAGAGACGACCACTTCGTGTCGGCATAGAAGGTCCCGCAACGGCGCTTAAGGATCCTTGAAGCAATGCAGAGACGGATACGCCTGGAAGCAAGGAGCCCACTATTTCGTCAAAGGCATGACGTTGATTTGTGTTCAACAGCGGCAACGACGTCTGTAATCGCCCTTCCCACTGCTGCGCTCGTGCTTCGGGGGTCTCGATCTCGTTTTGCTGTTCCAAAGCGGGCAGGCTGTCATCGGGCAGTGGGAGTCCGAAGTTTGCGAGCGTCCAGTCGGATGGCACGGTCTGCAGAGCCTCCTGTACCTCTCGAAGTACGTTAGATGTGGCGTGGTGATCATCGCGAAGCTGCTGTCTTCCAATGGGTTGTCTGCGTGCACGATTGCGAATATTGGTGAGAAACATGTCCAGGTGGTCGTTCCACAGCGAGAGAGGGTCCGAAGGCTGGCAGTGTGCCAGAATCGTAGCAAACAGATGAGAAAGAGGAACGAAGCTTGACCGGAATGAATCTCGGATTGCGTGCTTCCACTCCGCATCGTCGGCCTGCAAACTGAGTCGTAAGCAAGCTTGTCGGAAGCTGGTGCACTGCTCGCCGTCGATATTTCGCAAGTTCTCGAAGGATGTTGCCCCTGGCACTTGTGTGAGGAGGAGGCGAAGAAAGTAGCGCTCACCCTCCCTCGGACTGACAGTGTAGATTCGACCGACTACGTTGGCACCTGTACCACTGAAATCGTAGGCTTCCTCTTCGCTGGTGGCGTTCCGTCTTCGCAGGGTTGCTCTTGGACTCCATGACTTGGTGCGTGTCTTCCACGTAAAGTACCTTGTAAACTTGTGGTACCGAAGATGCCTCGCGCTTGGGTACTTCTCGTTGGCTTTAAACCACTCGGTCAGCTTCGTACCTGATGCTGGTCGAAGCGCCGCCTCCTGCTCTCGCCCTTCCTCAAAGTATACTGTATGGTGGTTGGGCAGATGCACCGTAAGTCTGACCACTGGAGGATTGCGATCTACAATGTCAAAGGAGAATAACCTCCATGCGGCCTCCGATGCCGAAACGTATCTGGCATCTTGGAAGTTGGAGATCTCGTCGTGGCACTCGTTCTCGGCAGTGATTTCCATGGTCACTCGGTCTTGTCCCTTGCAAACATACTTGAAGAGGTACTTGATTCCGCCAACCCGTGACACGCAGAGTTCCAAATTCAAATGGCAAGCGAATGATCGTAAAAGCAGAGGACTGTGGGGAACGACCCAGGAGTTGTCGACCACGACGGATTGCTGTCGTCGGCCAACACGGGAGGGTCGCTCGATGGAGACCCCACCTGCAGAGGGGGACCTTCTGCGGCATGTGATGTAGTACTCACTGTCGGACTGGCTGGTTTCGTGTTTGAACGATTTTGGAGACCCTTTCCTGCAGTACTGCTCGCCCATGCACACGGCTGTTGGATTGCGTTCTCCACATGGATTGTGAATCATATGCTTGAGCACGACCTCTTGGAGTTCTGGATCTTGGGCAGACGGGATCTCGGCAGAGATAATGCGGTCGACGTATTCGGGAGTACGCAGATCATTCTTGGAGACTTCATCTAGGAAAAATACAACGTGAGCGTGGGGAAGACCGCGTTTCTGAAATTCGATGACTCGTACATGGGCAACGACGGTTCCAAATACTTCCTCGTTGATGACCAAGGACATGAGATCTTTCATTTTCAGACGAAACACACGTGCGCACAGGTCCGGTCTGTCCTGAGGCGTTTGGTTCGGCAGTAGGGGTCTTGTGATCTCCGGCCAGCTTGGATTGCATGTCATAGTGAGGAAGATGTCCGGGTGGCCAATTTGGTTCGATATAGCAATTATGTCGTGCATCTGCTGCCTCATGTAGCGGTCACCTCCAATGTACGTGGAAGGGAGAATGAACAGTCGTCCCGCACGCACGGCATCGGCTTCATCTTCAGCACGACCGGAGTCTCCTAGGCTGTCGCGCAGTGAGGTGTAGTCGGCGGCTCGAAGCTGTGTCTGGTTGTGGCGGAGATACGAAAGCCTTTCTGCCTCCACTTTGCAGAACTGGTCAACCAAATATTGCTGAAAGAGTCACGCTGCGTGCAAGATTGTGCTGAACTCGCCTGCTCTTTCGAACAAATGCCATCCGTAGTACATCATCGGAGTGATCTTGGTACGTCTGCCGTCGTCATCACTGGAGAATCGAAGCTCTGGATACCATCCATCTCTACCGTTCGGGAACAAAAGCACGTAACTCAACGGATCGTATGCACGATGACTGACTGAAATCGGATCCAGCACTTCGTTCCCGTTACTGTTCAGAGTCCCTCGGCTGCGCACGACGATATCTCTTCGCCCAATCTCTCCGCCTTCATTTCCAGGGATCAATGCTGCCACTTCAGAAGCTTCGGGACCATTGTACCGGCGCACGTGCTCATGACTTGGCCTGCGGTCGGCATGGATGACCATCTGGTACGGGGCTAGAGTGTTGGGTTGAGGGGATTGAGCCCATTCTCGCATACTGAGAACAGACTGCACGTAGGGGTTGCATTCGTGCAGCATGTGCGTCAGTTGCATTAACAGTGTGTCTTCCAGCCGTGTAGAGGCTCCGCCAAGCCTTGTGCGCGTTTGAGTACCGTAGTCAGTGTCGTGAATGTAAACGGAAGCAAAGGAAGGCGCCCGCCCCTCGGATGGCATCATGGGACCCATGTAATGGTACATCTCGCCCTGCATCGTCATTGTGGGGTTAAAATTAGAAGTACCGGGCCCTTTGTTCACCCATTTGGCGACCACGGACGCCATAGACAGCGCTGAATTGTATGCTCGAATGTTTTTACGGAAGCGGCGGGCCCTTGGAGTATCATCGATGAGAAGAGAGCGCAGAAGAGCTGGCAGGTAGGTGAGAAGGGGCAGTGACAGCTTCCCCTTCCCACAGCATGTGGAAAACATGGGCCTTGCGGCAGAGCTGCTCACGATGCGTTCTTGGACGAAATGCAGAGCTTTGCAGTGCGAACACTCAATATGGACCATGCCGAGATCGCGATACGAAGGCGAGGATTCGGGTAGTGGGGGGAAGAGCTGCCGAGAAGCCGTTCGAGCCTGGCCGTCGGATCGTTGCCGGGCATTCCGAGTCGGTGTGTCTTGTGCATCCCTTGATCGTTGGGTGGATAGACGGTCAAGGTCTCGCCGCGCCTCACGAGCAGGAGTAATTTCCTCGGCTCTAGCTCCTCGTGTCGCATTGCGATTCGCTTCGCGCCGTGCATCTCGGAGGGGGGTATTTTCTTCCGCTCTAGCTGCTTCTGTAGATCTTCGGTTTGAGTCTTGACGCTCATGTCTCTCTGGGGTTGTCGCGTCAGCTCTTCTCTGTTGCATTGAGACACGAGAGGCCTCCAATCGAGTTATGCGGTCAGGAGGGCTCTCAGCCTGTCTCGTGCGTTGCATAGATGCTCGATTCGAGGCTCTGGCACGTTCCGTTGCTGCTCGGAGCTTTGGAGACTCTCTGGGACCCTCTGTCCGTGATTGAACGGCTCTGCGCGCCCTGGTTCTCTCCCTGTTTCGACGAAGACGCTCTTCGCGCTGCTCAGAAGTGTCTGCTGCTCTTCGTTCTGCAGTACGTTCCCGGGCGGTTTGGCGACGCGCTTGAGCCTTAGATTCGGTGTGTTGTCCCCTCCGAATTCTCGCCCGAGCTCGACCTGCCTCACGACGTGCTTGAGCTTCAGATTCCGACTCTTGCGCTCTCCTTGCCCTTGTACGCGCGTTTCTTTGCTGCCTTCTTGCTTCTGCTACGTCTTCATCTGCTGGTCCCGCCATTTGTGTTATGCCCAGCGCGCTAGTGGTATCTCAGCAAGTGCAGCTAGGGTTGACGCAAGTGCGAGGGGTCCGTTGTAGATCGCTATGAGTCGTAGCAAGCAGTCCTCAAAGGTCTAAACGCAACGTCAGCCAGCTAGGTCGTCCGCGAGAGCACTTAGCAAAAGAAGTAACAGTAGGGCCTTTATTGTCTTGTACTATCCCGTGATCGATTGGAGCTTCCTCTTGTGCTTCTTGCCCGCCAGGTGTCGCCTAAAGTCGTGGGCACTTGCCACTGTGCACGTACACACCTCGCAGCGGAATGTGCGGCCCGCTTGAATCACTTGAGCCACGTGCCCCTCGGTATGCACATGCCCGTCCCACAGTATCGCGCGCGTGCAATGAAAGTTGCAGATGTCACACATGTACACGGGCACACTCCGCAACACAGCACTGACAGCTGGCAACGCGCGCGCACGCGGACGCTCGATTGCACGTGGCACACGTGCAGCTGGCAACGCGCGCGCACGGGGCCGCTCGATTGCACGTGGCACACGTAGCCCACGAAATGTAGGAATGATAGGCGGGGGCAAACGTATAACACGTGGGACCGGAGCGCGTGGTACACGTGGTGCGGGTGCTGGCGCAGGGGCGCGTGGGAGCCGTGGCACACGTGGGAGCGGCGCGCGCGGTACACGTGGGGCGCGCGCGCGCGGAGGAGCTGGTTGTAGGACTGTGACACGTGTGGTCGCTGGCGGGGAATCGCCGAAATCGAGGCGGATCGGGGTCGCGGCGCGGCGTGCGCGGCGTAGTTCCTCTCTCTCTTCTTGCGTAGACACTGCGTAAAAAACCACACACCGTCAAATGTCAGTAAGCGTTCGTGTGCGCTCTAATACCGCGGGCGGCAAGCCTGCCGGAGCAAAGAGGACAGTTAGTAACTTACTGATTTCGCGTAGACGGTGTGCGCCGGGATCGCTAGCGAACGCGAAGCGGATCGGGGCTGTATTATTATTTTTACTCTACTGTAGTGTTAAATTTAAATTCGTAAACTTCTGTAGTGCCGCATTTGTGCCCGTGGAAGCCACGTGTCCCAGTGGCGGCCTGGCCTGCGGCAACGCCGCCCCCAGTCCGCACAGTACACTTGTCACTGTAGTAAAAAATGAAATTAAATCACGGCCCCGCCGCTTTCCACACGTGTCCGCGTGGCCGCGTGGCCTGCGGCCAGGCCGCCCCGCACGTGGCCGCCACTTGTCGCCGCAGCGCCCCCGTGCGCCAATGAGAACCCGTGCAGGAGCGCACGAACACACATACACAAACACACAGACAGACAGACACGGAAATTAGTATACGCGGGGACAAGTGGGCTCCGTGCGCGCTTCGCGCGCCGAGCCAAATCCCTTCTTTCTCCGCTCCTCGCCCCTCACCTCCCGCTCCGCCGTCCCTTCGTCACTGGTCCACCATCGTTGCCGGCGTTCCCCGCCCCGCTACTCCCCCGTCCTCTTCGCTACTGCTCTCGTCCTCTCTCCGGTCTTCGTCGCCCCTTTCCCCCTCGTCCTGCCACGCGTACCGCCCCTCCGTGCTCACTCTGGCTGCAGGTCGCGCTGCTCTTGTGGTACAACGACCGATCCGCCGTCGGTGTACAGTAGGAGCGGCCGCGCGCAGCGAGCACGGGGCACCGTGGCCCACGTGTAATACGTATGATTACCGAACGGGCGCAGCAAGTGACAGGTGTACGCTTGGGTACACGTGTAGTGTAAGGAACCGTGTGGGGATAATGCGCGCGCAGTGTAATGCAAGCGCGTAGTGTGAGGATCCGTGCGGTAGTGTAATGACGGCGCTAGATTTTCAATCGCGTACAGTACCTGGTCCACAGTAAGTGACAGGTACTGTATTGGACAGGTGTCCCGGGCGTCCCTCTGAGGGGTTAAGACCTGGACACCGTCCTCGCAGTAAACACGGGGGGCAGACTTGCCCCCCTCCCTTTCGCGCCTACGTACTGCCGTTTCGGTATTCTCTCGCGCGTTGGCTTCTAACCCGTTACCGGTCGTCTCCGATCTAGCACCTCGGGACGACTGCGCGTAACCGGCCAGTGTGCCACTCCCTTTTCGCAAGTCCGACCGTTCGGTAACCGCGCGCCGCGCGTCTCGCGTCGCGAGCTCCCTCGGCTCATCCTCCGAGCCTCTCGCCCGCTAGGGTTTGAGGAGAGTTGTACCACATTTTGGTACTCTTGTGGAGGGGTACAACTCTCGACGTAGAGCCGCGCGCCTTGACGCCCGCTCTGCGCAGAACCGTACGGACGGAAAAGGTTGAGAAATCACCGCGTCGATCGCGAAGCGTATTCGACGATGAACCGACCGGATCAAGGGGCAGACTCCGCCTCCGGGCGTCTGAGCACCCGCAGTGGCAGTGGCGCACCGCGCCCCCGGGTGGAGAACCCGGAAGCCCTGCTGCGACCGCCACCGCGACCGGGCCGCACGCGAGCGTCCGCATCGGATGTTACGCCGGCCGGGTCGGCAGGCACTGAGAATCGCGTCCAATGGATGGTCGACGCGATTCAGCCGCGCATCCAGGCCTGGGTCGAGGAGTTCCTCGCTACGGAACTCCCCCAGGTAGTGCGCGTATGCCTCGACCGAACGGTGCCCGCTCTCGTGGACGCGCACGTACGCAGCGCGATACCACCGCTTTTGGACGAACTTCTACCCGCTCAAGTCCAATGCGAGGTGGTGACCGCGCTCACCACTGTGGATGAAGAATCCCCGTCCGGCACGGCTCTAAAGGGAGCGATCAGCTCCGCCGTGGCCAATCGTCTGGCCACGACCTTCGCCGGAGCAGGAGTCGACGCACGCGAGCAGCGCGACTCAACCGCTCCGGATTCTACGCTAACGCACGCTGAACCGATCGGCGCCGCACCCGGGATCGGTACAATGGCCCCTCACCCGGAGGGTAAGACCATTTACCTCCCACCAATTTATGGTGCTACAGGAGGGCCCACAGAAAATGGCCCTCCCGTACTCGCCGATACGGCTGGCCCCCGCGGGACCGAAAACCGCCTGGGGCGCTTCGCGACAGAAAAGCGACAGCCGTATCGGTCGAGCAGAAGAAGCGCACCCGGCGCTCAAGGTTACACCTCGGAGGGTACAGAAAACCCCTCCGAGGAAGAAGACACAAGACGTCGCCACAGGGCGACGCGCAAGAACCGCGACGGACGCTACGCGCGATACCGCGATGCCGGAGGGGTCGGTTACCCCTCCGATGATAACCGCGACGGACGCTACACGCGATACCGCGATGCCGGAGGAGGTGGATACCCCTCCGATGACGAGGACACCGAGTCGGACGGATCGCGCAGAAGCGACCGCAGAGGCCGCAATGCGCGCGACCGACGTCGGTTCCGGCGAGAAGACTCCGATCCGGAGGGCTACAGTAGCCCCGGCGGAGAAGGAGACCGCCATCGCAGGGGCAGAGACCGCCGGTCTGCCCCGAGGCGGGATCCGAAACGGTTGCCGGTGATCAGGCCGCTGAACGACCTGTTCACCAAGGCCGTCGACTACCGCACGTATAGGCTGGAAAATCGCAGCGCGCGCTACGACGCGAGTACCGCGCGGCGAGTTAACCGATATCGGAAGAAGTTGGACGTCCAGCTGAAAACCCACACATTCGGTGGTCAAGATCCAATCGCGGTGCTAGGATTCCTCGCGCGCTTCAAGATGGCCTGCGACCACAATGGGGTCAGCGAAGGCGCGGCCGTATGGTGTTTCCAGTTCTATTTGACTGGGCAGGCTCACGCCTTGCTCCAGTCCAGGCTACACGGGAACATCATGGCGGTCGATGCGGAGCAGCGCGATATGCTCGAAACCTACGCGGAAGTTATTAACTTTTTATTGCGCACGTACGCGACCGACGAAGTTATTTCCGAAGCGGTCGGTGATGTCACCTCCTTCCGTCAGAGCTCTAATATGACGGAGGAGGTGTACAGTAACCAGTTGTGGGACAAGGCGTTGCGCTGCGGAACCGTATTTTCGGACAGGCGCCTGAAGTCCCTTTTTGTTGAGGGACTTCTGCCAGCGACGTGCGCGCAGGTGCGGAATTATCTCGCGACGCATCCGGGCGTGGACTACCAAGCGGTGGCACGCTACGCGCAAGCGATAGGCGAGACGCACCGCTCGGCTCGAAGACAGGCGACCTCCTTCGCGTCGCCTCAAGCACCGTCCGACTCGGTGAGAAGATTCACGCGCAACGCGCGGACAAGGCCCGTGCTGTCGGTCGAGTCCCTGTCTGAACTCCCGACAGCACGCGGAACCGAAACGGAGGAGATACTGGCGGTGACGGACCAGTCGGCGACGCCGAGCTCGCTTAGCTCGCCGCCGACTAGCTACCATCCGTCACCTGCCTCGTCCCCGGCGGGCGCGCCGATGGCGCCC